CCATTTTCCTAGGATATTGAAGGCTACGGATCACGAATTCGGCCCGATGCTATCCTTCACCAATTATTAAGCTTATTAAGCAACAATTTGGGCGGATTTTATCAGATCCATTTTGGCAGATTCCAAACGAGTACCAACACAAATTTCAGGCGATCTTTTTGAAAGTACATTTCCGTTGAATTTTGGAGGCTACATATCTCAAATTCGGCATGAGGAGGCTCGCAGACTATTCTCCACCAATGATGAAGTCTATTAATCGTCCATTGGGGTGGATTTTTTTATGGTAATTTCGTCATTTTTTGCGCGATTTTTTCTAATGGCCATTTTCCTAGGATATTGAAGGATACGAATTACAGCTTCAGCCTGAGGCCATCCTTCACCAATTATTACGCTTATTAAGCACCAATTTGAGCGGATTTTTTCTATGTCCATTTTTTGTAGATTTCAAAGGGGTATCATCACAAATTTCAGGTGATTTTTTCGATAGGCAATTTTAGTTGGATTTTGGAGTCTACATATCACGGATTTGGCCTGAGACGTCCTAGGGCAATTCTCCACCGTTGATGAAGTCTATTAATCACCCATATGGGAGGATTTTTTTAGGGCACTTTCGTTATTTTTCACTCGATTTTTCGAAAGGCCATTTTCCTAAGATATTGAAGGCTACGGATCACAGATTCGGCCTTAGGATATCCTTCACCGATTATTAAGCTTATTAAGAACCAATTTTGGCGGATTTTTTCCGAGTCCATTTTTGGCAGATTCCAAACTGGTAGTGGTATCATTACAGATTTCATGCAATTTTTTCGAAAAGCCGATTTTCGTTGTATTTTGGAGGTTATAGATCACATTTCTGCCTGAGGCGGTCTGGGGCTATTCTCCACCGATGATGAAGTCTATTAATCGCCCATTTGTGTAGATTTTTTCGGAGCGCATGTTCCTCATTTTTCGCGTGATTTTTTTGAAAGACCATTTTCCTATAATATTGAAGACTACATATCACATATTCGACCTGAGGCTATCCTTCTATGATTATTAAACTTATTAACTACCAATTTGGGCGGAATTTTTCCGGACCCATTTTTAGCACATTCCAAAGCGGTTCCATCAAAGATTTCGGGTGATTTTTTTTTAAGTCAATTTTCATTGGATTTTGGAGGCTAAAGATCACGGATTCGGCCTGAGATGGCCTGGGGCTATTCTCCACCATTTATGAAGTCTATTAATCACCCACTTGGGCGGATCTTTTCGGAGGGCATTTTCATCCTTTTTTGCACTATTTTTTTTGGAAATCCCATTTCCTAGAATATTGAAGGCTACGCATCACGGATTCGGCATGAGGCTATCTTTCACCGATTATTAAGCTTTTAAAGCACCAATTTGGGTGATTTTTGTTGGATTCATTTTTGGCAGATTCCAAAGGGGTACCATCACAAATATCCGGCGATTTTTTTGAAAGACCATTTTTGCTGGACTTTGGAGGCTACAGATTCGGCCTGAGGCTACCTGGGGCTATTCTCCACCGATGATGTTCTCTATTAATCCCCGATTGGGGCAAAAAATTTCGAAGGGAATTTTTCAGAAGTTTTTACATAATTTTGTCGAAATGCCATTTTCCTAGGGTTTTGAAGTCTACTGATCACCAATTCGGCCTGAAGTTATTCGTCACCGATGATTAAGTTTGTTAAGCACTGATTTGAGTTCATTTTTTCTGGGTCCATTTTTGGCAGATTCCAAAAGGGTACCATCACAAATTTCTTGCGCTTTTTTTCGAAAGGTCATTTTTGTTGTATTTTGGAGGCTACACATCATGATTCTCTCTGAGGCGGCCTGGGGTTATTCTCCATCGATGATGAAGTCCATTAATCGCCCATTTGGGATGTTTTTTTTAGGCTATTTTCATAATTTTTCGCCCGATGTTTTCGAAAGGCCATTTTCATTGGATTTTGAAGGCTACAGATCACGAATTCTGCTTGAGGATATCCTTCACTGATAATTTAATCTATTAAGAAATGATTTGGCCGCATTTTTTTGGGGTATATTTTGGCAGATTCCGAAGGGGTACCATTATAGATTTCAGGCTTTTTTTTTAAAGGTCGTTTTCGTTGGACTTTGGAGTCTACAGATCACGGATTCGGTCTGAGGTGTTTTGGGGCTATTCTTCACCTATGATGAAGTCTATTAATCGTCGATTTGGGATGATCTTTTTTTAATGACATTTTCGTAATTTTTCATGCAATTTTTTCAAAAGGAAATTTTCCTTCGATTTTGAATGCTATGGATCACGAATTCGGATTGAGACTATCCTTCACCTATGATTAAGTCTATTAAGCACCGATTTTGGCGGATATTCTCCTAGTCCATTTTTGGCAGATTCCAAAGGTTCATGATGTACACAAACCATCCTGACCAACATCTAGCAACTTTATCTCATGGCAGTTCATCGATCAACACAAAAATTAATGAGAGGTAACAAGGAAATGGTCGTGCTATTCTCGGCAAATATTACCCTAACGCGCCTCCAAAATTCATTCGATGATTGATAGTGACTGACAAAACCATCTTCGGAAACTTCAATCCATGCCTTGCACAAAACTTCATCTTCTGACTCCTTCCAATTCGACGGACGATTACTTTGAAACATGATAAGGAGTTTGGGAGAAAGAGAATTCTTTTTGGATGAGAAGAAGATGAATATCACAATTGGAGAGAATTGAAAGAAAAACATTAGAAGTGATGAAGAGGAAGTGAAGAAATTAGTTGCTTGGGCTAAAATAGCCATTGGGGGGATTTGTTGTTGAAAGGTAATAATTTTTTTGTTATAACGGTCGGAATGGAGACCAGGCGTCGGGTCTGGTCGTGCCTCACACGCTCCATGGTGATCTTGTCTTCTTCTGGTTCATTTTTGGACCCAAAAATCCAAAAATTCGCAACCAATGAATTTTTGAAGCCTTATTATTGTGGTTTGGTTCCAATTTTTTTGTACTCTATTAAAGATAGTCTAAGTTAACAATTAACTCTAACCTCGAATGAACTCACTTGACACACAACATAAACTTTTACCGAATATAAATAAATAAGAGTATGCAATTTCATTCTAAAATCCATATATGCAATTTTTAGTTTCTCGTATGTATTTTTGTGTCTCTGGTATGCTTTAAGAGATTTTTGTATGCTCTTTGGTGCTTTTGGGATGCATTTTTACGTCTTTGGCATGTGCATTGTTGTGTTTCTGGCATGCATTCTAATGTTTTCTAGTATGTATTCCTCAATTTCGGTATGCATTTGTTGAGGCCCCGATGTTAACTCTCCAGTCCAACTGCTTTCTGCGAATCTTACGAGTTCCGAACCTCTTCTGCACCTGCACAAATCAACAAAGGGCTCGCTCGGCCTGTTAGTCCTCTGATGATCATGATAGGAATGTTCTCTTTAGATAGAGAAGTGTAGTGTCTAGTCTTTAGTGAGAGAATGGAACCCCATTAAATGTGGTTACTTTCCCCTGTTTACAGTCAAGGCGGCCATGCCGACAACATTCCCCTCGACATGCTCAATATCATCCCTGCATTAAATGCTCCGTACTTGCCTACGATCATGCGCCCCGACAACAACTCCTGGTGGCTGAGTGCTCGTGGCGCATGACACGTGATTCCAGACTAGCTCCGTACTCTCCTCTGTTTTATTGCTCATGCCGATATACGCTCTCTTCGACATTTTTGTACTTTATATGGGCTTATTAATGCTTGGACCGATCAACACAGCACAACAACATTACTTACAGCCTGATTGGATGGATAAAAAAATTAGGAATTGGAATTCCATTTCCAATTCTATTTCATTATTCCATGTTTGAAATGGTAAGAAGGTTAGGAAATGAATTCCATTTGACCCAAATATTAGAAATTAGAATTCCTATCAAAAGTTATATGAATTGGGTTTGTGGAGATGGAATTAGTGGGACTCATTCATATTTATTATTATTTTTATAATTCCAATATCTCATTCATCTCTTTCTCTCTCATTAGTATTTCATTTCTCAAGATAAAAAAAAATTTACTAAATCATTAATGCTTGTTAAGAGTACGATTCATTTACATAGTTGTTGGAATTATGCCAAACACAAATATTAGAATTGGAATTTCATAAAAGTTAGAATTGGGAATGAAAATTCATTTCTATTTCATATGAAATTGTATCAAACAGGCTGTTAGTTTCAACAAGATCCCGGAGATTGGAATCTGAATATCAAAAATTTAAAAATAACCAAAATATTGGACAAAATGTAGAATTAACACAAATCTGATTTATTTTTAGTGTGCTTTTTTTCCCCTATTAACCCTTCTTTTTCTATCGATACTCATTGATGTTAGCATCGTAATAACACTTTGAATATTCTTATACTTTGTTTTCAGGGGTCAAACAATAGACATCCAATGATTTGTAACATGGGACTAGCTTGTTTGGAGAGAAATTATTGGAGTGAGGAGACTATTATTAATTTTTGAAAATGACTAATGAGCTGTTAAACACCATTAGAGTAAAGCAGCTAGACTAGAAGATGCCCTTTTGTTTTCTTTTCCAACTTAATGATGATGACGATCATATCGTATTACAGCATGATGACAGTTGGTATTGAATAATAAATTAAATGAAATATTATGGGTTTATTTGATATTTGACTTATTAACTGTGAAGTACATGACATCGGGGTTCTTTAAAGGGTTAATAACTTACTTTGTCCCGAATTTTAGACAAACTTTTTACCTTGGCCCGTGTTATTGGAAATTGTCATTCTGGTCTAAACTATGCATCATACTTTCTTATTTGCTCGGAGGCGGGTTTGCCCGTCAAATTAGACGGTCAACCGAGTTGACCGTTAGTCAAGATCCACCTCACTCACCATGTCAACTATCAGGGAATAATTTTTTTTTTTAATTTCTGTATTTTGTTTACTTTCTAATAATAAAAATAATAAACAAACCCCTGCACCGAAATCACCTGCTTCAAACCCCTGCTGCTCCTGTGCCGGCTGCAATGCCGCCTTGGGGAGCAAATCGTTCCTCGCCGCCACCGCCATCGTCGACCAGAGAGCCGCCTCCAGCTGCGCCATCTCGTTGCTCAACCCCCTGCCGCAGCTTCCCATTGCTCCACACCTGAACTCGAAGAACAAAATTAAACAAAACCCTGATCGGAATTGTTTTCCATCGAGAAAGAATTGCGTCCGTACTGTGGCGAGATCACCGAGATTGATGAGAAAAGTTCCCAGGACTGGTTCATCAGGGATGTAGCTGGCGTCGGAGGGATCCATGACCTCGAGCCCGCCGACGGTTTCATCCTCTTGAATAGAGATGGAAATCGGTACGGTATTGGTATCCCAATACCAAATACCGAAATCCCAAATATCGAATTACATCCTAAAATCAATCCCAATCTCAATCCCTAAATATTTCGGTATCCCAATCGGTACTTCGGTATCCCAATTAGTATTATCGAATACAAAATTAATTACCTTTACAATTAATAATAAATTAATATATAAAATAGATTTTATTGTTTAATTTAGGGGGAAAAGACTAAGCAAAGTGTCTTGAATAAGGATATTATTAAGGAGAATGGAGGAGAGGATACATCTCAAGTTCTTGTCATTGATAATCGTTAATTTGACAAATTGGAGGTTGAGAGACGACTATTAATAGTGATAGAATGATCTATGTATAATTAAATGACACTCTTGGTGATTTAGGGTCATGTAGTAGTGAATGAGAGAGTCTAGTTGAGAGGATAAAATACATATTAGCTTATATTTGGGTATTGATCGGTATATACCGATCCCAATCCCGTAATCCCTAATACCGATTAACAATTGAAATTCAATCCCAATCCCAATCCCAAGAAATAATATGTGTATTCGGTAATACCAAACATAAACAAATTTGGTACGGTATTCGGTATATCCCAACTACCGGTACCAAACTTCCAGCCCTACTCTTGAAGCACGGTGAGGAACCCGGAATCGGTGTGGCTCTGGACTCCGGCCGACCCGAGCGGCTCCGACTCGAAATGATACTTGTTGATCCGAAACTGGCACGACCATCCTTCGAACAATCCAACTCCATCACTCTCAACTCCCAAGCTCTTCACCATCTTCGCCGTCACTTTCATCAGCCATCGCCACTCCATGGGTCGCCTCCGCGTACTTCAGAATCGTCTCCCTGTAAATCAAAATTATGGATTCAATTCAATCCCCCCCCCCCCCCAATTAGGGTTTCAATTCCTATTCAAAATTATCGAAACCTGTGGCGAGGAGAGACGCCGAGCTGGTCGCAGAACTCGTGGACGGCGACGGTGAAACCTTGACTAACGGTCAAGAACTCCGAACTCGCAGCCCGTCGCCCACGAACTCCGCCGGCATTTCCACCGCTATGTAGCATTCAAAATTTTTTGTTTATTATTTTTATTATTAGAAAGTAAACAACAGAAATTTTAAAAACTAATTTTTTATTTGTTGATAACTGACGTGGCAAGTGAGTTGGACCTTGACTAACAGTCAAACCCGCCCTTGGGCCAAATAAGGAAGTATGCTACATAGTTTAGGCCAGACTAACAATTTCCGATACCGCAGGCCAAAGTAGAAAGTTTGTCTATAGTTCTGGCCAAACTAAGGTATTAACCCTTCTTTGAATGAGAAATTGTAATGGATCAATTTGACGAAATTATCTCATCTTGAGACAATTGCACAAATTTGATTCGTATGTCAACAAAAAAAAATTGGATGTATCAATTTGCTTGAAATTATATGAGGTATTTTGAATTGATCTGTTTTGAGTCAATTTCAATTGTCTGGGGTGGGCAAGTAATTCAAATTGACTCATTTAATTGTCTCGTTTATAAAAGGAGACAATTGATGAAATTATATGATCTCTAAATTGATCCATCCAAACACCCCTAGTGATTGAAGTAAAATATTCTGAAACTAAGATATACAGTAAAGTTCAAAAGATTTAGGGGAAGACAATATAACAGATTCGAGGTGGATTGCCCTATTTCATTTTTATTTTAAGATATAGTTATGTTTCTTCTCATTTCAATATTTCAAAAAAAATTCCAAATGACAATATTAGACTAACCGCCTGTAAAACATTATTAGCATTTTCATCACAATTTACCTTGACTGGACCGTTAACTCTGTCAGTTTTTTGATGATGTGGCAAACAGAACTCCTAACTGGACCGTTAAATTAATGACATGTTAATTTAAAAAAAATATAAAAATATAAATTATCAAACTAACGAAACGGTGTCGTTCTTGTAGAGCTGTCATAAGTGTGAAGTGTCTCTCCTGTTCAGGTCGAGTCTCAATGCTTCTCGCAACCCGATTAGGACCCGACTCCCTGCTCTGCTGAACTATCATCCTAGCCTGCCCACCGCCGCCGGATGCGGGGTGATACCTCTATGTGGGGGATCGATCAGATTGCAAAAAATGGGAAAGAGAAAAATTGTAGCAAAATGGTTCTTTGTTTTTTGTCAGTTTTGAAGACCTCAACATCAAGAACGTTCATTGCCATGTGGGAATCGAGATCTGTATGGTCTTTCATTGGATTTAAACTTTCCTCCTCTTTTTGAATCGTCATCGCAGTTGACATCATTGCACGGAATGGAATTGAAAGAGAAAGTGATGGAAGAGAGATTGGGGTCAAGATTGAATTAGAAAATGAAATCAATTTTTTGTTCGTCATTGTCGCATATATCTTCCCCGCCAGAGAAGATCCCCTACTCCCCGCCTTCAACTGCTTCATCGTGACTTCCTCGTCGTTGCATTCGACATCGTAATCTGTTCCGGCTTTGGATTCGACGGCGAATCGGCAGAGGATTAACGGGGGAGTAAGCGATTGGCTGCGGCGGCGGCGGCCCGTGGGCGGGCTTGGGATGAGGAGTTTCGGAGGGGAAGGTGAAGAAGATGAGGGAAGGGGAAGGTGGGCCACTCCTCTGCTTGATTTTTCCTTTTTTTATTTTAAAAATTGACATGTCATTAAGTTAACGGTCCAGTCAGCAGTTCTGTTTGCCACATAATAAAAAAACTGACGGAGTTGATGGAATCTAACGGATACTAATGGTTAGTGACTAATGGTGAAATAATTTGTAAAGTTAGTGGCGAATAAGAAAAAAAATCGGGTGACAGAAGTGAAAGATTTATGCAATTTGAGTGACCAAACATGTAATTTAGCCCACTTATATATGTACAACAAATGAAGTATTGAGTGAAAACGATAGAACCATCCATACATATCCATATCCATATACATATACATATATATTACATATGGTAATGACTGGTGTACGTCAGGCGTATAGTATGCAACATGTGATCTAGCCGTTAGATTTACTTAGATGAGCTCCGACCAATCTCAACGGTCAGTTTTTGTTTTTCATTAAATCAAACATCGGGTTGGGGTTTAGAAAATCGGTGCCTGGGGTTTATCCATTAGAGGTTAGGGTATAGTATCATACCCCATTCTCGATTTAATTCATGGTCTAGTTATAGATATCTCACTAGTAGTACCTGACGTATAGTATACGTCTGACGTACTGACGTACGCCAGTCTGCCCCATATATATATATATATATATGGTAATATATATTCATAACTATTAAGCATTCCATTTACATTTTAGGGTAAATACAATATATTAGCCACCACTATTATGAAGGGAGGAATTATAGCCACAACTATGTAAATTCAATTATTAGCCATAATTATTGTAACGGGTCATGATATGGCTAACTGTCCGTTACTATTATTGAATTTTTAACAGAGAAGGCCACGTCATCGACCACGACAGCAGCCACATCGGACTGCTTTTAATTTATAACTTTAAAACATAAGGACTTTTTCCATAAATACCACTGTTTAAAAAAAGAATTCCAAAAATACCACCCAACCCCAAAAAAGGGCTAATACCACTAGAAATACCATCCTTTAGAGAAAGTGCCATTTATATTACATCATTTTCGAAGACACAAAAATATTCCAATCTATTAAAGGTTTGTGTCATTTGTGTTACGTGAATTTATGTTGACCGTTAGAATTGACGGTTGACCTGACGATGGCCCACTTTGTGTCCACGTAAGCGACACGTGGATGCCACGTTGGAAAAAATGCTTAAAAATTATAAAAATATTTTTTTATTAATTATTTATTATTCTATTACAAAATAAATATTCTTTTAAGTTTTAACCCCACCCACCCTATCTTCTTATAACATCAGGCCTCTATCCCCCAAGCCCCAACATCGGACCTCTTGATCTTCATCTCCCATCTCTTGATCTTCATCTCCCACCTCGATACCCCCTTCTTCAATCACTTAGTTGTCACCAACAACTCCTAACCCATCACTAGCCTCAATAAATATCACAATCTGCCCATTTTGGATTGAAGGAATCAAACCATCCATCACCTCGGCATCAGAAAGCAACTCGTGAACCCCCTGCTCCATGGTAGAATGTGGTGACATGTACCACATTCGATCCACCCTCTCATAGTTCAAATACACCACACCAACTTGCCGAAATACAAAGTAGGAGAGCACGTCAATGTCTATGTCAAATGGCTCTACACTCCCACCAACGTATCGAGGTATGCCTTGGGAGAAGTCCATCCAACCTCCATGGTTGAAAATCAGCTCAACCATCTCATTAGCCATCCTGCAATAAAATACATTATTTCCTTTCATTTCCCAACCAAACTGTCTACACAATTAAACAAGCAAACAGCTCTCCAACACAATCAGAGTAAAATATAGTAAACAACTCCCTACAGCAAAGACAACAACTACTAGACAACGACAACACAATAATCCACAATCTCTATTCTATCAAATTGTCCAAAAAACTAGACAAAGGAAGTAGCACAAACCTGTTTTTCACCAAGCAGTAGGGCTAAAATCGTCTTCACACTCAGGCTCGTGGTCCAAGCTTTTGGAAGGAATCTTCAACTGTACACCCACCTTTACTCTTCTCCATCTACTTTCGTACCCACCACCAGAAATCTACTACAAATACCCAGATGTGGGGAGCAGGTTCTATTTCCCCAAAGGTCCCTAAAAAACCCTAGAAACTCTGCCGACAAACCTCCTCTTCGCAATCACCTTCTATGCTTGGTTAAGGAGAAGACTCAAGAGGAGGGAGTAACTCCTACTACTCCTTCGCAACGATCTTGCTTCACTTCTGGTTCTTCTTCTCCAAACACCAGCGACGAAGATAAAGCACTCGAAGAAGTAGCTCGGCGACGATTCGACTGCTCCGCTCCTACGATCTCACTCCCAGCAACGATCCGAAGCCTTCACCTCTACTCGCACGCCGATTGATTCCGCCCAGCTTGTCGATTTAGGGAAATTTTTTCCTTATGCGAACCTAGGGTTCTTCTGTGTTTCGCAGTCGAGGAAGATGGGAAAGGTTGAGAACGAAAAGAGTAATGGGGAGCCCGAGTCGATTTTTACTTATACCTTGGTTTTTTTTCCCCAGTAAATAAACCACGTCAGCGAGCCACGTAGGATCCTAGTAACCGTTGACTGTGCGTTGAAAAGTCGCATAGTTATGTTTAACGGCCCAACTAACAGAGAAGACATTTTAGTATACAAATGGCATTTCAAAAATGATGTAATATAAATGGCACTTTCTCTAAAGGATGGTATTTCCAGTGGTATTAGCCCCCCAAAAGGAGTTAACGTTTGGCTAAGAATTTGAATTTCCATAGTTGTAGCTATAATTCCCCACTTCAAAATAGTTGTGGCTAATATATTGTATTTATCCTACATTTTATACGAGCTTTTGTATACAACTTGATTATTTGTTTTTCGTCTGTGTATCTCTCCATTCCACAGATTAATGAATTACTAGTACTTGGCCCGCGCTCCGTGGCGGGGTAAGTGTGATTCCAGTTGTTTTGTGGATTTTGTTATGTTCTTTCTACTATACCATTCGCAAATAGTTTAGATTCATTGCGGCAGAGAGCGCAGAAATTAACAAACATATTAACAATCTTTGTGCACACCACACATATACATTTGCCATAGTTTTGTCTTCATTGAAAATAGGGAATAAAAACTTTAGTATCTGATGCCCTCGACGGAATTAAAAAACACAAACACATTTGCCATAGTTTTGTCTTCACTGAAAATAGGGAATAGAAACGTCAGTTTAAAATGGAGAATTCTGGGGGTGGATGGGATACTTCGGTTGGCCTTTCTGTCAGTAGTGCTGATGGTCACTTATCTATCCTTGAGGTGTGCCAAAGTGTCGCTACTCTTATTTGGGATACGGCTGTTCTGGTTCTGTTCTTCAGATCTGAGGAGCCGATGTAGAGCTCTCCTGCAAACATTCTGCTACATCTTTTGACCAGCAACGCCTTGGCCGATTCTGCATCGAGTTTTTT